AAAGGGGGGAAAAGGAGAAGATAAAAGAAAAGAGAACAAAAAGTAAAGAAAAGAGAGAGAGTTCAAAAAAGAGGAAAGAAAAAGAAGAGAGGAGCCGGTGAGAAAGCAAGACAACGAAATGGCACTAAAAATTAGTGACAGTAACGACGAATAAGGGAAAGACAAGGGGAAGGGGGTGCGTGAAGGCGGATGCATTAAGGGGAGGGGGTGGGGGTGACTGGCCGTATTCTTATTTTTAGGTTATGCGAAATTGAGTCGAAATTATGCTTCTTTTCAAAACAATCTTAGCATGCTTGTTTATGTTAAGCCGGAGTGCATGAAAAGGTTAGTGTAGAAACACTTCTGAAAAGGCCGCGCCCGGCCCCTCCAAAGAACGGCAGAATGGTACTCTATAAATTATGGGGTCATTCTTGATGGCTTGGGAGTCGTTATTAAGGAGGGGGCCGGCCCTACTCAAATGGTAGTGACGGTAACGATGGATAAGGCAGAGGGGGGGGGGGGGGGTCGAACCCCCCTCAAATTTTTGTCAAGTTGTCAAGTTGGTCCTGATGTGTATAATGCGTAGACCAGGGGTTCTCAAACTTTTTCTTTGACGGTCCAGAAGCGATTTCTATGAAAGCTGTAAGGTCCGAAACTTTGTATACTGAAGATAATGAGGCTTGTTTTTGGTCTATATCTGATCCAAGGAGAATTGTTACAGTTTAAAAAAAACAGAACCGCCAGTGCTTCCACTCGTTTAAATAGAGTTTCCTGAAAAAGAACACCCAATATCCTGGAATTTGAAAGAATTTTCTTAAAACATTCAAAATGCCTCAACATTCAAAATGCCTCTTACGTGGATTTCTTATTTGGATGAATCGCTATGACTTTTTAATATGTATCAATTATTGAGTGGGCTTATTTTGCTTTCTAATGGATCCATACAACGTGGCAGAGCTTGAGGGGTCTGATAGAGCCTTTTCAAGAAAGAAATTGTCTTTAGGAGAAAAAAAGAGGTTATTTCTAAAATGAAATGAAAGGGTTATTGACTTTCAAGAGAGAAAATTGTCTATAAGAGAGGAAGAGAGGTTATTTCTAAAATGAAATGAAAGGGCTCTTGTCAAATAGCCCTTTCATTTCATTTTTTCTCTCGAAATAAACTCTCTTTCTCTCTTATAGACAATTTTATGAGATGGAATCTTCAATCCGTGAAGCCTTTTTGTGCTCTTTGAAAATGGCACACTGAATGGGGGCAGTGCAATTTAAATTTCAAGGGATGGATTAGAGTTTTTATCGCTCTTGAAAGTCAAATAGCCCTTTCATTTCATTTTAGAAATAAACTCTAATACATTCCTTGATATTTAAATTGCGCCGCCCCTATTGTGTCCTCTTTTTAAAGAGCACAACAGAGACCTCAGATTAGGCAGCAAGTAGCAAAACAAACCCGTAACACTGGACACAACATTCAATGGGATGATGCCCATATCATTGAGTTTGAAACGCACTTCTGGTCAAGAATGGTAGAAGAAGCATCTGCATAAAAAAGGATGAATCCTTCACTGAATAGGGATTCTTGCTATACACTTTTACCTTTGTGTAAATAATAAAAAGTCCACGGGCGTGGTTGTTAGAAGCTTAAACTACATAAAACTCTCTCCAATTTTGCAGGGGGAGAGCCTTTGTCGGGAGTCTTTAATAATAAAAGGGATAAATCCTTCACTGAATAGGGATTCTTGCTATAATGTTACCTTTCTTCGCTCCAGTGATCTCGAGGCAGCAGACAGCAAGAAATTGTGTAAATAATTCGCTGTTGCCGGGAGTCTTGCATGGGGCGGAGCACCAGGAAGTTCTTGAACTTTAAAAAAAATTAGGAAATTCCAAATAGTCGTCATGAGCGATAGAAATTGTAATTTCCTCCTTGAGAGTCACATACCCTCTTTCATTTCATTTTAGAATTTAACCTCTCTTTCTCTCTTAAAGACAATTTCATATAACTTCTGTTTTCGTATTGTTGTACTTTCGTCCGCAGACTACTTAAGCACATGTCAAGCCAACTCAGTCGGAAATGTAATATGTAGGCCTAAGTGTAAAGTTAAGTTTCATGTTCTTCCTTTTTTCTTTCTTTCTTTCTTTCTCTCCCTCTCTCTGTCTCTCTCCTTTTCCTCTATCTTCTTTAAAAAAAAAAAAAATTCTTTCTTTTCTTCTCATTTTTCTGTGTGTGACATGCGTTGCGCGTACGTCTATCAATGTCTTAATATGGTAGATTTACATTTTGATGTTTCCCTTTGTAGGTGCACCTTATATTCCAGAAAGTGCCCTATTTTGATGGTGCCCCCCCCCCCCCATGTATTGATCTCGATAAAAAATAAATTTCTCATTAATTCTATTTCCAATATATCTAATACTTGCACTAATCTCCAATTAAAAAAAAAAATCGTCTACTTTCTCTCAAGACAACATTATATAAAGGATTCATTAATACAAGGCTATCACGCGAGTAATCTCTCAATTTCTAACTTCCTGCTTTCCTCATCTCCCAGTCTCCATTGCTTTAATATTCCTCGTTACTTCCTTCCAATTGAACTCCAACTTAATTGATGTTATACACTGTATCTATTCTTCAACTACAGGTAGATGCAAATGTTACTCAAAATCCATTATATAAATCACACCCAGGATACAGCCAATCGACGAGAATTGCTTCAATCTATATTTTACATGTATCATTAATATATGGTTTTACAATGGCTATGGTGATGAGTTGTCTAGGTAACATGTTGATGTGTTTGTTAAAATGTATTACCATGGTGCACCTTCTTGGTTACAAACAAATTATGTGTATGTATTAACGTAAGTTCGTGCCTTTACATATCACAGTAGAAATCAATGTTTTATATTTGATGCAGAATAATATTAATATTTGGAGATTAGAAACACAAACAGTTTCCATAACCGTTCAAGTGTTTCAAGAAAAAGTTAAGAAAACTTTCTCCTGGATGTAAATTGGAATTTTAAGCGGTTTCATTGGAATTAATCGAGAAATTCCCCTCGCTAGCGTGTAAATAAAAATACGCCGGCCGGCCATACGTAAATGGCAGTGACGGTAACAACGAATTAGGAGGAAGGGGTGCATACGTGAACTACAAGCGATGATGATGGGGCGGGTGGCAGGGGTAGGGGGCAAAGTTCGCCCCACTCTTCAAGTACCCCCCTCCCCAAAGGGCCACTTTTACTTTGTAAAGAAGTGCCCCTTCCCCTTTTTAACTCGGATAAGCGCACATTTCATCAACACATGTGCCCCCTTTCCTATCTGATAAGGGCTATTTAGAAAAATGAGACCCTTCATAAATAAAAAGTGTCCCTTTTCATCTCTGGTAAATGACTATTTTCATATATGAGAAGTTAATTCTTTTCACTTCAGTGCGCTCTTCACCTCCGATAATGGCCCCTATTCAAATCTGAGAGATGCTCGTTTTACTTTGAAAAGTACCCCTTCCCCTCCTGATAGGTACTCTTTTCATCTATGATGGGTGCCCATTTTCACCTTTGCTAACTGCCCTTTTATTTTGAATCGTGCCCCTTTCCCTTTCTATTAAGGGACCTATCCCCTTTTCATAAATGCCCCTTTTCACCTCTGATAAATCAATTTCTGATGGATGCCCCTTTTCCGTCGACAAATGCCCATTTCCCATACTCATAAGTGCCCAATCTCATTTCTGGTGAGTGCCTCCTTTCAGGTGTAAGAAGTGCCCAGTTTAAACCTTGATAATTACTCTTTGTACCTTGACACATGCTCCTTTTCTTTTCTAATAAGTGTCTTTATCCCTTTCGATATGTGTCCCCTTAACCTCTCATCATCAGGCACGTAGGCACGGGGGGGGGGGGCACGTGCCCCTAACCTGCTCATCATTAGTCTTGCACTAATTTAAAGCGACTAAGAGTAATTTCCCCTAAAGCTTGCTTGCTCGCTCGCATTTATAGATGATACAATTATATGTCACTTTAAAACAAAGGTTTTTTCAGTCTTTCGTGATGCTTATAACCCCATCATGATTTGGTTTTTTCCTCTTTATAAGATGTAATTTTTCACTCTGCGACCTCACAGATCTTACATTTTTTTCTCGCTCGCTTTGCTCGCTCGCAAATGAATATTCAGACAATCACACTCAGCCGAAAGTGTGATGCTTAAGCAATAACTTGTATGATATATAAAGAAAAACAAATATTGAAATCGTCCCTGATAATGGGATCACAATGAAAGGGTAATATAATATACCAATGTCTAAAAAAATGTATAATTTCGCCTTGAGATTTCGCTTTGTAGGTGCCCTTTTTTGTTGGTGCTTTCCACTTTGGAAATAGCTCCGCCGCCCCTGCTTACGCATTAGCGCCAGCGTTAATTTCACGCTTGCACGCACAGGGGGTGTGTGTGTGTGGGGGGGGGGGGGTTCCTCTCTAGCTCTGAAGCTGATTTTTTTTTTTTTACCTAGATTCGTGCGATTCGGTTAATACTTTTAGAGGGAGTCTGAGGGGTGATGTGCCCCCCTCTGAAGCTGACATTTTTTTGGATTTTTGAAACTGGATTCGTGCGTTTTGGTTAATACTTTTTTGGGGAGTCTGATTTGATTTCAAAACACCTGCAGTTAATGCGGGATGGTGTTGCAGCCTCTCTTTCCCCGAAAATTTAAAAATTACCAATATGCATTTGTTATATCTTATCTCGTATATTTTGGTGACAATTAACACTTTTCACAACATACATAAGCTCAAATTTCCGCTCACTCGCCAAATTATTAAACCAGGAAATAGATATTGGGGCAAGAGGCTTCAGCCCCCACTGATGGAAATGTCAAAAAAATTGCGCGCGAGCATAACTTGAAAACGGGGAATGTTGATATCGGACAAGAGATGTGACGTGAGCATGTCCCCTTTCCAAAATAATTGTGCCCGTTTGTAGGTACCAGTACACTATTAAAGTACAGTGCTTCTAATATGACCTTGTCAGTATTGGTAAGTTTAAATAATGGTCTGCGCGAATTTCGAATTTCCGGCCCCCCCTATTGGAAAATCCTGGATCCGCGCGTACCGCTATTACAGGCACGTAGTGCGCAACGCTGGTACAGTCCAGCTGTGTCACTCGAAGCCAGCAGAAAGGCTTATCTAGGCTTTTTCCGCATCTGATACTTTGTCACACACTCACTGCATTAAAAGGCCGTCTGTCTTCTGTCCGAAAATCCTTTATCCCATAACATTATGGCGATCCAACTCAACAGATTGCTGCTTTTTGTAGTTCTAATAGCTCTATTACAGAGAACGCTATGTCAGGTTTACTCCAGTCAGCAGGGAGATGAAGAATCGCCATTTCCCGGAGATGGAGGGTACCCAGGACCAGGACCAGGCGGACCGGGAGGTGGAGAAGGCTATCCAGGAGGACCAGGTGCCGGTGGAGGGGGAATGTATCCACCCAGTGGACCCGGTGGTCTCCATCCAGGAGCTGTCGTGCCAGGCCCAGGTTCACCACCGTTTGGCAGGGAAGGCCAGGAACCAAGACCACCACCAAGTTTCCAGGAAGGAGGAGAAGAAGGGGGAGGCCCACCGTCCGACTTTGATCCAAACCTTGATATTCCTAGTATGCCTGGCCTGATGGGAGAACCCGAATGGCCTGGCATGGGCACCGGGGTGGATTCAGACGACTGGCCACAGCCACCGAATCACATATCATCAGATGGAAGTTTATATTCACCTCCTTCTGATCTAGGACCAAGTATTCATGAGGGAACCCACCAAGATTCTATCGGAGGTAGGCACTGAAGATCTGGAGTTTTAGCTATTTCAAAATTAGTACACTATATATAGATAGGGTTACTACTTTACTAGTTACTCTACCTCGCACCACCTAATATTATTAATCCAAATGTGTGCTTTTTCAATTCATTGAGTTGATAAGATAAAGTTTAATAAATGAATACATACTATAAAATATCTAAAAAGTAAATCAGTAATATCGAGAAGACCGTTTTAGATTTATTCCAAACTCATTCCCTAATCTATCTAACATTCAATATGTTTGACTGTGTACGTCCTTGTGTGGTAGTTTAATTTGTAGATTAAAACGAATCAAGAAGCTGTTTGAATATTGATAAAGCAATGCCTCTTATCAAAATCTACCTCACAGATTTGGGTCACGCACAAGAAGACCCGTGATTATAATCATGCTTGTTAAAGACAACAACAAAGTCATTCTCAATTTTAAATCCTTAACTAACAAAGCTTAGTCACAAACATACTACATTTGCCATTATTAAAGTATATTTAGATAAGAGTAGACGATATAATTACTGTATTACTTCTTTTCACTCTATTGTGTGATATCTTTACGTACATCCCTGTGTTTACTATTCTAGGCATGGATTTTATGCGATGCTATATTTCCTAAGTGGTATGAAATATAGCAAGGCCTATGTGATCCCACATTTCTGGTGTTGAATTACACAGGCAAGGTCTCTCTGATTCCAGTCTCTACAAAACAGTAATGTTTTTTTTCTTTTCAATGTCTCTTATTTCGTGAAGTGCCATACAATAATGACGTTGCTCCCTGTGAAAGTATTTTGTTTTTGTTCGGAGGTTTAAGGTCATAAGCCCAGCCAAATCAATCTACAATCCAGTTTCCTGTAGCCTACTATCGGTTAAAAGAGTACAAACAGATTGATACCAAATGTCAAATTGAATATGACTTTCAATGTACTTCTCTCCCATAAACCATATTGTTTCTCAGTTATCGGTGTCTCTATATTCTGAGTATATTTTTCCATTTGATCGCTTTTGTTAGGCATATGTTTTGTTTTGTATTTTATTTTGTTGCGTTTTTGTTGTTGCTGTTGATTTCTTGGCAGTGTAGGGCAACCAGTGTAAACTATTATCATTACTGTTATCTGTTTTGCTTTGTTGGATTGACGTGCAAACATTTGACTACCGGCCTAATACTGAACCATTGAACGATGACGCTGGACATGGTATTACACAAGATTATCAACATAATACTCAGTGTTATACAAAATATGTTGTGTGCTGCAATTTTAATACTTGCGCTCTTTCTTAAATTATGGTATAGTGTATTTTTTTTCAATGCAGCATCTTTGAGCAACATTCAGTTCGTGATTTATGTATAGACAAAAAAAAATCCGTCTTCGTAAAGGACTTTTTAAACATATTATTTTGTCTTTGTTATAGGAGCGGGATTCGGAATAAGCTCAACCAAACATATTTATCCCTGAACAAAATAGATTGACTTTCGGTCTATCTCTTTATAAACATCACTTACCATTTATGATAACTAATTTGCCGATTTCATGTTTTTAGAAACGTAATAACAGTTTTCATTTAACTTGTGGAGGATAATCATGAATTTGATCGGGCATATGAAAAAACATTTAACAGGTAAATTGACATTTAAATTTCAAAATTATTTAACTATTAATTTTCTATTTCAATCTATTTATACGCAATTTAATTCATGTATGGGAATGCCATAAAGTGTGTCAATTTATTGAATCTTTATTACATCGGACAGATGAAGTGTTTCACACAGCATATTCTTGCCGTTTAAAGATTAAAAAAAAGAACAAAAGGCGATGTATTCATTTGCCAGATGTTGATATTTTTCAGCATTCTTTTGTACTGAATGAAAAACTTGATCAGGATGAAATAGAGTACAGGTAAAATAAACAGAAGTGGAGCAAAGTGGAGGTTATTCTATGAAAGAATTATCACAATGTGCTCATGTAATGTGCTCATTTGAAATCTCTGAATCCTTAGCCTATTCTAAAGGCGGAAGATGTAGATTATGAGTATTCATTACATTACTCCCTATAGTAACAAGATATTCTATTCATGTTCTTCGTAGAATTCGTCCATTCGTAAATTGTCATAAACCGACCGTTATCATTATTTTCTCTCGCGACATTGTCATGGATGTTTGCGCAGGAAACACGTTAGCATAAACGGTTTTCCTCCCCATAATATGACCTCAAAGGTCACGGAGCGAGACCCTTGTCGACTGCGTCACGTTTTTGACCTCTTCTGAGTTCAACTTATCCGAGTTTTTTCTTCTTTTTGCTGCTTCACAGAACAGGTGGCGCGATCAATTACTGTATGCAACCATGGACCTTTCGCCGAAGGTCCATGGTGCAACCATAGACGTATATGGTGCAACTCACCCTCGAAATATAACAATATCATGTATATTAGAACTATTTGTCTTATGTCCCTTTTGCAGCCAACCTCAAATTCTGTAGAACTTTGCAGGAATTATGAATATGTCATGTATGTCCTATCTGTGAAATTTAAACGTTAGCAGTGTCCTCATATTCAAATTATGCAAAGAAACCCGTTTACTTGCTGTCAGACACTATTGAGTGACTGACTGGCTTTTCTTCTTCTTTGGTAATAACATCCATGAAAAGAGTTGTAAAGGGTACATGAGCATTTGTCTACATCAATAACCCACTTCTTGTGATGGCCAAGATTAAACTGATTGAATCTTTGCGCAGCATAAAACGTATGACCATTCGGTACAATTGTCTGAAAATCAAGACTATTACTTTTGGGCTCTATAGCCCTAAAGTCGATTTGATAACTAATAGTCATTATTTTCCTACTTGAAGACATTTTCAAGCCCCACCTTTTTTAGGGAAGTTCTAAATAAGTATTATCTTTCAAATGCAGTTGGAATTTAACTTTTTCATTCGTTTGGCCTGCAAATGGGACATAGTACCTTTAAAGCCCCTATCAGGGATTTGCAAGCCCCCAAAAGTAATCTCAAACTGTATCTGTAGCAGCAAGATGAGTTTATGAAATCATGTGCAAAATCTCAGATCAAAAAAACTATATATTGGTTCGACAAAACGCTTTAAATCGTAGTATTGTAATTGCGGAGATTTAATTAGCAGGATTAGTCTGACTGTCGGCTGAAGTACTATTTTATTTTTATTTCATAAATATGACAAAGGATTAAGTTGTATTGCTCCGCATACAGCATATTAAATGGTGAAAGTTATTTTACTGAAACACTGTTACTGATCAAAATATATTTTTGGATGCGTGGTTTTAAGTTCACATACCGCTTTAAATGTTTTATTGAAATGATGAAAAAAAAAATTATTTGAAAAAATAATGCCAGTTCATGATTATTCGCAATCAAAATTTATTCCTTGGTCTCATGGTTTACGTTTTAACAATCTTGAGATAACCGATTTACGATCGGTCTATTCACCTTTGTATCTTCGAGTGCGAATATTATGATTGTGAAAAGATAAACAATAGATATCGAGCTCAAGGTGTAGCAATGTCACCACCACCCTTCCGAGAAGCTCATCATCGTCACAATCCAATCCATTCCATTCCACGGAGTATTTGGTATAACGCCTATTCCTTGCAATTGCAAAGCGCTTTACAATTTGAACCACAACGTAGTAGGCCTAATAAAGGGCCACTTAAACAATTTTATGAATAAAAAACATTTTAAAAGATCAGTTGATGTCTCGGTCACACTAACAAGACCGACACCAAACAAAACAAAATTTTACATCACCCCAGATTGCCCAAAATCGAATCGGTCGCTTGGAATCGATTTGTCATAATTATGACCAAGGGTTAAGGATTTATATTTGAAAAAGCCATGCTCTCACAAAATAAGTGAGCGATGGTATGTATGATATCTAAATATTGATGGGCGATTCTGAATTAGAAAAGGGACATTTTGACAGTGGCTCCTATAGCTTTCAAGTAATACGAATGATGGAGGTGTTTTTTCAAATATTTCTTTTAAAGGGGGATCATATTATGTAATTTTTAAGTTAACCATTGGTAATTTAACATGCGTTGTGAAATACTGGAAATGAGGCATATTCCGAATCGTTCATTTCACATCAAATTGAAAATGCACTTGCTAAACTTAGCTCTGACTTTTTTGTTTCATTCTGGTATCACCATGCATGTTAGAGCGACAAAATATTTATTATATTTTTGTTTTGATGGTTTATTATAGGCTTTCAAAAAAATTGTCACCTTTATCTAATCCGGAATCACCTTGACGCTTCGTTAGTTCTAAAATTCAATAATGATTATTAAAAAAATAATGTATTAGTTGTATTATTAGCTTGTCTGACCGACGTTGATTTTGATAAATCATTAGATTAACATTATACATTTAGTTTATGTTTTTGCATTGTTTGTTTTTTTAAACACTATACAGACCACAATGGTGCTGCAGAGACCGGCGAGAACGACCCGAAAGGAGGCACAAACTCTGGTAAGATAACAAAACAAAACGTGATTCTATTCTTGTCTATCTTTGACCGCCCTTGATGGCGGAAGCCAAGTTGTTTCCACTTTGAAAATGATAAAAGTTTGGTTAGCTTTAGCTGTTTGCAGTGGCGTTGTTAAAGGGGGCACGAGGGGGGCACGGGGGGCACGGGGGGCACGGGGGGTACGGGGGGCACGGGGGGCACGGGGGGCACGGGGGGCACATTTCATGAGTTTTAAACATAAAGTGAAAGCGAAAGGGAGAAAAGAGAGAAAGGGAAATAGTAAAGCAGAAGGGGAATAGAAGTCACCTGCATGGACTACTTCAGGCATCTGCCCTCCCCAAATCAGTATCTAAATATAGACCGACCCTAGTCGTTCCAGGGGCCTATTTCATAGAAACTTATTACCAATAGCAAGTTACAAGCTACTGTTATAAACTACTGAAATCATGGCATCTGATTGGCTGAGAGCAAATTTGTCATAGGAATTTAGCAGTTGTCATATAGATAACAAGTGTTATGAAACGGGCCCCAGATCCCCCTCAATGTGTGAACTCACTCTACTCTACGTCACTGTCTGTATGAACACCAGACTTGACCGGATGTCACCACAGTGCAAAGGAGCCGCGTTCTTACTAGGAATAAACTTCATTTCCTATTTGCACTGCATGCTGCCCAAGCATCGAAACATATTGTTGTTCGTGTGGTTTGAGAGCAAAATATGATGTTCGTGATGTTTCATATAGGCACATTCACACTTCATACGCAGACATTGTAATGTTTGACCGTAGTGTATAGGCTAAGTAAATATTTTTGTGATTGACAACTTGCTGTCCATACGGTGTGATATTGACAGCGAAATATAGAGTATAGTAAAATCGCAATGTTTGGATCGTAGTACAAACTTAGCTTTTCTGTGAATAATTTGCTGTCCATACTGTGTGAATATAATTACATTTCGTACTTGTGTGGACCGTAGTTTGTATGGAATTACGTAATTATTTGTTGCCCATACGTAAATTTGACGCCAAGAATATATTTGGTAATATATGAAACGTCGCATAATAACATCGCATGTCAGCAAACATCATTCAAATCACGCCATTATCGATAAGATTTCCAACGTAAAAACATAGCCCAGGCTCTTCGATGGGCGCAGAAATCCGCTATTCAGGAAGCTTAGCTTTATGATCGGAGCTTTGCGCCCGAATGCCTTCGTTCTTATTCAAACTCTGCATGGGTTGAATGTGGTTTAAATGTGTCACCATTCCAGAAAACTTATAACGACACCAATTTTGATAGATTTCTATAAAGCAACACAAATTCCCACTGCACATCTTTCCATAATAATTGTTACTGTGACAAAAATTGCCTAGAGATACGAATGAGGAGACGCGATGGCTCAGAAGTAGTGCAGAAGTTTATGCGCCAGTGCCCATTGTTAAGACACTAATCCTCCCTATCAAGTCCCTTGGATAGGGCGTAAAACCATCGGTCCCCTGGTTACTTACATTCAAGCATATACTTTCTTAAACGTCAGGTAAAACAAAACCCAAATGATTATGGTCAATAAACATTTTTTTTCAAACAGGATCTAGAAAATAATTACCTGCATGACTATAGATTAACTCTTTATGTCATGTATATCACATTATATAAACGATTTTGAGCTGAATTGTTCTCTTTTAGACCTTGTATATACATGTTTTGATTATTAAGCTCTTCTAAATATAGCCTTTGTCAGTGAATGTAAATCTTATTTCGTTTGCTTACAGAATTGATGACGGGAGAGCAGGAATCCGTCAAAAGTCATAGTAAGTCCCCTTTCTCTTCCTCCAAAACAGGGGTGTCGTCATCAATCTGTTTGGACCCAAAAATGGCATTAATCCAAGTGTTTTCTACAGATTAATACCCCTTCAGGTTTTAACACACTGATGATGATGCCGTGTGTGGCCGTTCCTGTCTGTCATTTTGATTGAAATGATTGCTATTTACGATTATAATGATACACCTGCTGGAACAATATTTTTGCAATATGAATAAAGGATCCCAAAAATGATGTTATTTCTATATAATTAAAGCAGATAATTTGTTTACGATGAGTAACCATAGTTTGTACACATTTCATCCGGCTTACAAAGTGCAAGATTCTTTTTAAATACAGCATTTGTTATTCGCGTTCTCTTGAACCCGGGACGTTTACTCGTTGACCTTTTAAATAAAAAAATTATCATGTAACATAAAGACTGGTAAATTATCAGTAACGATTGGCGATAATTACCAGATGATTTTCAATTATTGAATGAACTTGATAAGGAGCTCTAGGAATAACATAGTCATGATTTTAATGGCTCTGAATATATAGCAATCCAGCAGTATTCTTTAATAATAGATTTATTATGTATAGCTAATATCTATGTATGGACATGGATTTTTGTGTAAATATTATTGTTGTAATCCAGAAAAAATACCCAAATTTGTCTTTTCGCACACAATTTTCTTTGATAACCTCATTCGCCTAAACCTATTTCTTGATTTTTGTTTTGAAACTTTCTTTCTCATAAATTAAGGCATGCGTCACAATATGACCGCATCGGGGACACCAGACGACGATTTCAACTACGTCGGGATGTACGTAACCGTGGGCATCTGTATCGCATTTATGGTAACCTTAGTCGCCATCGCTCTCATCCGCGGGCCACAGGGCCCCTTTAAGACCAAGCGCACTGACGAGGAAATCGCAAGGGGCCTCAACCTCAACGGCGGTCAAACGGCGGGAGACGTTATCTTGTTATCCGACGGCGCAGCAATCCCGACCGACGCGCAGTGGGAGCAGCAACCGCTGCGCGGTGATTGCGATGACGTGGTTACGGACGTTCAGGTTAGTTGCGGGGATACGGCTGTAGCCAGCGAGAATTCGACGACAGTTGCGGTGACTGAAATAACAAGCAAGGAAGAAGGTGTTTGATTATTATTGTGAAACCGTTTCATGTTAATTGATGACCCTGCATCAGAAGGATTCAAAACTGTTTCGACTTATGCGTGACTCTTACAATTATATTACATGTATTTGTGTGAATCTCATTATTATCAACATTTTATCTTTCAGCTATATTAACGATTGTAACCTCGAAATGTAGACTGAGTTTCAACTCTTGTTTATGTACCACAGAAAGTTTAGATATAAGGTTTTTTCTGTCTATTGGTTCTAGGGTACATTACATGAAACATTGTTATGATTTACTGGCCTTCAAAGTTTGGTTTATCCCTCACATTTTGGTTAAATAAAGTATATTATAGGTGTTGTGATCTAGTGGATAAGTCACTGGACTGTAGATCACAGGGTACAGGGTTTAAATCCCTGTACTTTGGCAAGACGTTATCTACATTTGCCACTCTTCACTCGGGTGTCAATGGATACCTGATATGCTTGAGCACTAGTTACTTTGGTTTCCCACCCATAACCAGGGTAATAATTTCTAAGCGCCATGAGCGTTACTACTTGACAGATATGAGCACTATAATAATGGTCATTGTCGTTAATATTATCATTTTTAGTTGCCTATATTTCAGTAAATCATAATGTACACTTCTTATTTTAACCAGGTTTAACATTAGTCTAAACGAAAGTTGCACGGTTTAATAACTTTTGGTGCTTACAAGTTAAATGATAGATGACAAGCGAACGAAATAAAATGTGTGTGAAAATGTTGTGCCTATATGCCTAATCTATAAATAGATTACTATTGTATTTTATACACCAGCATAAGCATGTTGTATTTGCATTTATGTACCGAATTTGAATGGGAGTGCTTAAAGTAATGTTTTCTCGAGTAGAAGAATTTATTAAAGGCTAATCTCCGATATTTGAACCATCCATAATATAGATAAAATTATGTAACAGTAACTGCATATACAAGCATCATCTCGGGTTATAAATTTAAGCTAAGGGGAAAACACAGCTTTGTAAGTGCAAAATCTACAATTATCACAGAATGGTTTGTTATGATACAGCCGGTTAGACAAGCGATTGTGCGGCAAACCGCAAACTTATGAGCAAACCACTGTTGTGAACATATGTTTTCCCGTCAATTTTAGCCATATTTCAATTAAATTTGGTCACAAAACTTCCTTATCTTGCACATCTCTCAGTCAATTTTGTCTTTGGTCATTCGATTTGCATCAAATTTTAAAAGTCAAATCAAATTCGTCATCCTCGGCTGCCAACGTACAATTGCATAAATCAATCTCGTCATTTTGCAATCGGTTTCGTCAAAGCGTCATTCAAAGTCGTAATTCGATCACTATAAGGTCTTGTCTCTGCGACGAATTTGAATTAAACTCTCTTGAAATTGACTGCACGAGGACGAATTTCAGTATGACATTCTGCAGCGAACGAATTTGAATGAAATCAAACGTAAATGAATGGAAAAGTATTGACTTTGATTGACAAATGAGTGAATCAACCTTGATATTAATTTGCACGATCCAGGATTTCTAGGACAAAATTGAATTGCACACATTGCACACAACTTTAATTTAAAGTTATTTTAAAAAGGACAGGAAATCATAAACTAATTGAAACATTAATATCATTGCCATCGTACGGACTTGATGAATGAATATGAATACAAAATATAGCTTTACGAAATATGTTTTTATTGCATGGAGTAAGGTTTATATTTTATGATATGAGTTGAAAGTCAAGAACATTAGTTCTTTCATATTTTATATGGATGAGCGTGATAAAGGGAATGTATCATTCATTTACATGATAAATGTACATGTATTTCATCAGCATATCTGGGGTATAGGCCTACACATTGCATTTATTTTAAGACTTGGGTTAGAAGTAAGAAGGAAAGTTAAACATGCTTCATTCATCAGAATGTTTATTACTTACATCCATCGGATGATTATATACTGTATTAACTTTGCGTATTAGGCCTAACCTTACGGACGTTTTCTTAATGGAAGTATACTATTTCATCAATTCTGTGCCTTTTACGCGATAGTGTCAAAGCTTGCCACGTTTTTACAACAATTTTATTGCCTCATTTTGACAAATGTAATATCTAAATAACGATCATGTTATACATTTATATTTGTTACAGTGTACAAGATAAAGTACGTCGAAATTATATATCTTTCATACGTTGTGATGATCATTAAATTAAATTAATGTTCATAAATAGACAATAAAAAGGTTGTTTGTGTTATTCAATATGTAGTGGCGTCCTCTATAGATTAAATCATAAAAGATTTTGTGTGTGGGGGGGGGGGGGGGTCTCGAGGCCAAGGCGGATCCAGCCGGTGGCAGGGGAGGGGGCCAAAGAGGGGCTAAATTCGTGAGAGGATATTTAGCGGAGAAACAGCCAGCCGGTGAATAAGCAGGGGGGAGGGGGAGGGTAAGCACTAATTTGTTTTCCTTTTTTTGTGCTCAATGGGGAGGGAGGAGGGATAGTGCCCAATTTTATTAAAACTCAAGACCCATCCTCCCCCCCCCCCCATCTCTTCAGCACACACACAAGAAAATAAGGGAACGAGGGGCCCGTCTACTTTTTTAAAACGAGAAAAGGTACAATTAACGTGTTGGGGGGGGGGGGGCGGGCCCCCTGGATCTGTCACTGTCTCGAGGACGTCCAAGGTTCAAAGATCGTGTAAATTGTTAAAAAGTTGAGGCCCTTTCAGAAAGAGGGTACGTTTATTTAGGTGCTCTATTAATTTGCACGGAAAAAGTAGGTCCTCGGTTATGCAGTAAATTTCCATATCGTCCTCGGGATGTTACATTACTAAAAACAAGCGTGTCCTCGTACATGCTATAACATTCTGATGTAGTTATTGGTGTAATATGCATTCTAAATAGGTATTCTAAATTCACATCACGTGATCTTGTTTATCTCTGGTCTTTAATTTTTTTTCTATTGCTATTTTGTCTTTCCTTGAAATACATCAGTAGATCTTTCTCCCTCGTCAATCGTCGATGCTTTCTCTTTTGTATTCCTAACCATCAAATTCAAATGGTCCGATTGAAACATAAATCTGAACCTTCATTTAACTAGTTTAAACCCATTTGTACATTGGCTAATTCTTTGAAAGTTAAGACAAAAAGACACCTGCGGTTTTGATACATGGAAAATAATGTTTTTCAAACTTAAAACTGTTATGTTATTTAATCCCAATTCAATTGAAATTGGTTTCAAAATGTAGATAGTTTAATTATCTTTTAGATTATACTAAACTCGTTGGCCCGAATTCACAAAGCAAGGTTTGAGCTCAAACCTCCTTTTGATTCGCCAAACCTCCTTTTGTTCTTTACAAACAAGGTTTATAAGAAACGCGTAAAACGCGTCATATGACGAACGAAAACCAAGGTTTGTCGACAAACCTCCTTTGTGAATTCGGGCCATGGTGGTTCAATTGCAAGATTACCTTAAATATTATTAACAGAATACTATCTTTGGCACAAAGATAGTATCCTCCTATTTAGGGGTGAGCGCTACAAATAAAATGAAAAACCTAAGAAATATTGTGTATTAAAGAAAAATCTTTCGTATAAACAACGAGTGCTTTGTAAGCGAAGTAGTGGCAAGCTATACTCTCTTTTCTGACTTTGGCCCTCCGCTTAATTTTCTAAAAGCTGTAAAGGATATATCTTAAACTAGATTTAGTGTAACTGTGGGCGAACAGGTTGTAGCGCCATCACTGGCAAACTCATTTCAACTCATGGAAATAAGACATGGAATCCCATATAGATTAAATCCTAAATAACACAAGATCTTGCCAGAGACAGAAGATTTAATCCGATTTAATGACTGCCATGGAGTAATGAAATAATGACTGTCATGGATTCGTAGAGAAAAGTTGTCCGAAAAGGAAAGAAGTTTTAGAATAAACTTCTACTAGATATACTCCTGTAAACACCCATGTCTGCAGATTTGGTGTCATGTCCTGTAACGATAATGAACATCTACATAATAATTTGCTTGTATGTATGTTTGTATTTTTAATTAAAAATTGGTAGAAAGAGACCCTTTCATAATAATTAAATTAGGCATTTATTTCAAATTTTTACCATTCTTAATTAAAGGGGAGTTTTTATAGAAATTAAATATAACTTTCAGACGTAAGTAATGTAGGCCTACTGAACATAATAGTGGCAAGAAAATTCACATGAAAACACTCCCATTTTCATTAATTCAACCTAATGTGCACGACCCTTCTACGGCATTTGAAAATGCACATTTTTATTTGTTCTGTTGTGACGATCATTTGATCTTTAGCAAAGCCTGGAATCTTTAAACTTTCTAAAATTGTGGTATTCAAATGAAAATAAATTTCGAATAGGTTTCATTGAGAAACAGAAGCAGGCCGTGAACTTTTTAGAAAGATACCTACAGAGAGATATGAGGGAACTAAATCTGACAACGGCTCAAACAGGGGAAAGCGGAGATGAAGGATTCGGCCAACCAACCCCTGCTAAGGGAATATGGATCAAGGAATAATAATACATGTTTTGAACGTTTTTACTGCCCCTTTAATTGACCCCACCCCCACAAAGAAACAATATATATATAAATATAATAATGACAATAATATATATTTTTTTAGATATAAAACAATTAACATAGTTGGCATTTGTTCACATATGTACACAAAGACAAAATCGGGAACCAGTTAATTGATGGTGTGATTGGCTTTTTCACCCGGTTATTGGGTGGCGAGATAACGCTGAAATATCTATCTTGAACAAACTGTTTGTAATATTTCAAAGTTCAAGATCATCTTTGCTTATATTTTACCCCAAATCAAAGTTTGAGTATGTATTGTTCCAGTGAAGAGATTTATTGTGATAAAGGGACCTTATCTCCGTCTCCGTGTACAGATGCTGATTAGAAAATGATCGTGTTTGGTCAATTAAAATCCTTTTAGTATATAGGCCGTTATATTCATTTCAATATTTTCTCATTTTCCTTATGTCTTAATGTCATTATCATCTAAGGAGGATCCTATTTTTTTTCAATCTCCCTCTCTCTCTCTCTCTCTCTCTCTCTCTCTCTCTCTCTCTCTCTCCCTCCCCTTCTTTTTTTCTCGATTCCTTCCCTATCTCAATCACTCTCTTTCTTTCCTGCCCCTCACCCTGAGCCGGCCACCCCAAGCCGCGCCCTCCACCCCCACCCCCGAGCCGCTCGGATGACGAGGCAATCTGATTTTTGTTTGCAGATGAATGTAGTTATAACACGAACAAAATTATCAAACTAACGATAATGTGCTTTTAATAGATCGTGTATAAACATATAATTTGAACTTTTACTCAAAGATCAAACTGTTCATGACACCCTAAATAATCTTTATGACATTTATGTAACGATCATGTGCATGTATTTGTTAATCAAATGTACTGTTCTGGTTGATGCCTGTACCATATTATACGGTATCAAAGTCTACTGATTAGATTATCGTGACTTGATTGTCAAATAGAAAATAATTATATGAATACACAAAAAGGGCATGAGTGATTGTACATGTTCCGGAAACAATTTATCCGCGGTCAAAAAGCTATTATAATCGGTACACAATTATGTTTTAAGAGCAGAAAATGAAGAGAAACAGCATGATGAAACTTTAAAAATGAATAGAATAAAATAATAAGAGATATGGTTATGATTAGAGATCACAAAATCCCTGCGAATCTCAAATAAGCAATTTGGTAAGTGGATTGTGTAATTGTATTCACGGGCAACTCAACTGTTGTGTACTAAAATATAATTTCGGTTTTTCTGTTAAGCTCCTTCTTTGTTAGGGCACCTAACGGTCCTGATAAATCTACATTTGCAATTCTTTTTCTGGGGTCCGATTTCGTTGAAACTTTCACCGTTATGCTTCTCCGGTAGGCTTACTTCTGCTTCCTTTCAGAGCATTTTCTTAGATTTCTCTTTAACTTCAACCGAACAATATACCTAACCCTATCCACAAACTTAATCCCAAACCTAATATTCGCCGGAGCACTATGGCGAGCACAATTTTTTCAAAATTGATTCAAATCTTTTAAACATAAAAATCAATTACTAGTTGGTCTACCTAAAAATCGTATGGATTAGAGGTGTCAAGACTATCTATCAAGACTATTAATAGATTTTAAGTCAAACTTTGGCCAATGGGTATTTTTGAAAAAAAATGTGTTGTCGTCTAGTTCGATTGTTGGATGACTGCTATTCAAACTCTTTGCATAAACCTTTGAAATATAATATTGATAAACGGGTTATATCTCGCACCGTATTGATAAGAACTGTCTTCGAATGACGTCACAAATACCAAGAGGCTCTATGACAATTGAATATCTTTACGTCTGGCGTTGTGACGGTGCCATAAAGTAACCGAATGTCGAACGGGAACGGATGACCACGGATTATGGGTGTAATCATGAAACCTATGATACCGGTATTACTGGTGTTACTTTTCTATGGAGTACAAAATGGAGGTAAGCTTATTCCCTACGACGATTGTTTTCGTTATAAAACAAGTCGACTTGCCAAGGTACAAAAAACCGCCATGTCGTCTTCTTATCCTAAATACATGGACTTGCCGAGTTCCAGCAACTCGTCCTTTAAATTGTCTTTTCGTCTTTCTGTCCTAAATTATCTCGTCATCTCGTGGGTACTTTTAGGCTTCCAAAATTTCGTGTTTGGTAATTTCTTTCCAAACTTTGTCATTTTAGTCAACCATTTTGCATCCAGTCAAATCAATTCGTCATCACCGGCTAGCAATGTACATTAATTTTCATGAATCAATTTCGTCAAAGCTTCATTGAAATTCGTCAATCATTCGTTTACTATATGGATAGTTGTTACGGGTTGTCTATTTATTTTTACCTGACTTGCCTTGTTGATGAATTTACGTTAAACAGCGTATATATAAATATAGGCCTATAAATATTAATTTTCATCGATATCATAATAATTCACAGTCTTGCCTTCAAATATAAATGAGTAACTACAAATCGATGTATTTTATCATTGACATGTAGTTTTGGGCACCAAACCTTAAGTAAAAGGAATTTATATATTATCACAAATAAGATATTTCATGCTAGTATGAGACAACCTCAGGGAAAAAAATCTCACTTTCATTTCTCTGTTCACCAACAATCGGTTAAATTTACCTTTGTAACATGTTCCTTTTAATTTTCATTTAATTACTTATCT